CACCATCGTGTTTCTCGCATACGTTTACATAAGAAACAACAGTCAAATCGCAAATCCCTCACACATGCAACATTTCCATTGCCCCATTGGGGTTTCTCGTTAAATAAAGACCATCTACTATGCAAAATGTAGGGGGAGACAGAGGTCAACCTCGGGTTTAGGCTTCAGTTTCCGAGAAAATTCACGTTTCATTAGAGGAAATTTGGCGTCGCGTTTTTGCGGAGATGCCCACGCAGACAGTCAGACGCCGCGTTTCACCATTCGCGAGGTCATCTCGAGGGCCATTTGCAAAGCCATAAAATAATTATTAAATTTTAAAAAATATATTTAAAATAAAAAGAGAGACGGAGATTAAGGAGAGGAGACAACGCTACTTGAGGTCCCATGATACGGATTCGTCGGCCTGTTTATCTCGATTTTTAATCGAGCTTGTTGGCACCCCGAAATACAAATATTGAGATGTTGGCCCTCTTGCTTGAAGAGGGATGTATTTTAACTGAAAATACGGGTATTTCTAATTTCTTGTAATATTCCCATTCACTTGCTCGAACGAATCATGGAAGAGAATCCCGGATTATACACTGGGAAAAAGTCTATGGATCTAGAGTCCAGACTCTTAAAAATATTGACAAGAAAAAATCAATAAAATTTTAAACTTACTTGCACGTAGAAATATTTAATTGCGGACGCGTTTCGCCGGCTCGCAATTCCAGCATCCTCAGCACGAGTTTAACATTTTTACGTGCAAGTGGGTTGAAAATTTTATTGATCATTTATCTTGTGCGTGTCTCCAAACGAATCTTGAAGAGAAAATGCTCTTGATTCAATCGGATTTTTGCTTAAATCAAGAACCAAGCCTCTTAATTTGAGCACATTTCCTTTTGATTCGAGCAAGAAATCCGTTTGCATCAAGAGTATTTTTTCTTGTCAATATTTTCAAGAGTCTGGACTCTAGATTCAAACTGCTTTTTTCCCCAGTGTAACCTCTATTTCAGACGCAAAAAATTGTCCATTTTCATATAAATCAATTACATCACTGCTGTAGACCAAGGGGGTAAGTAGTTAACCGGTATTAGTAGAAACACATTAGTTGGTCCATCATATTCCTTCACTGTCCATTGCAACCATCCGTTTGAACCAATTGGATCGCTCCTTTTTCTCTGTGTCTCATTTGTCTATAGCTCTGTCTATCGATGTCAACTATCGGCCCGCCGGCCGGGCAGAAAGAAAATCCAAAATTTCAAAAACAATAAAATGAAGGTTTTCCCGATTATCCGCGAAATTCCAAGACGTTCAATTAATTAATCCCCGATGCCAGAAGACCGTTAATAACGCGCGATTTTCCAGGTTGTTGGACGCTCTGCTACGGTTTTCCGGTCACTGAGAGCCCTGAGCCCTCCGACACTGCTGTGCTAAGGAAAAACACCGTATGAACCTTCAGGCGTTGCCAAATTTCCTTTGATACAACACGAATTTCCTGGTAAACGTAGAAACATTTTCTTTCCAATTTTTTTTTTTTTTAGATAATTTGGCTCGCAATTTTACCTGAAGTGTCTGAAAATTTCACGGAAAATTATTCATAACTTTCCTCAAAAATGAACATTTCATCGAAGGAAATTTGGCAACTCTCGAATGTTGATACGGCGTTCTCCCTTAGCACGGCAGAATAGCTCTGAATTTTCCATCGGCCTCGAAACGCTATCACCTGGCGCCGCCGATGGCTCACTAGTCACCGCGCTAGACGAAAACTGGGAGTCGTTGCCAGATAGTCGTCGAACTCAGCACTAGTCCCCCGTTAAAACCCATATAAAATTACAAAACCTGGCAACCCTGGGGCAGGGACAGGGACCGGTGACCCGTCCCAACGCGGAACCCCGTGCGCAAGGTCACGGCGCACGGTGGATCGAGTCGATCAGAGAAGTCGGACATGAAATTTTTGGCTAAAACCGAAAATTTTCACGTTTATTTCGTCGCATTTTAAATTTTAAGGGGTGCTTCGGGAAGAAAATTTCACTAGGAAACTAATGGAACCTCTTTTAGAACCTCAAAGTTTCGTATTAACGGAGTTATAAGCTTTTAAGGTTTCCAAATTTTGTCCGACTTCTCGTATGGACTCTGTCCACTATGCGGCGGCTCGAGGCCAACAGTCACGACTGCAGTGCGCAGCGCACGGTGGAACCAACAAGTAAGAGGATCAAGCATGAAATTTCGGACTAGAATTGCAAATGTTGACATTTAATTCGTCTCATAATACATTTTTAAGGGTGTTCTATGATCGCACTGAGGAAGAACGCCGTATGAGCCTTCAGGCGTTGTCACATTTCCTGAGAAAAAAAAGAATTTTCAGGAATATTTGCGAATAATTCTCTCCTGATTTTTCGCTGGGTTTCGTTTGGAATTTGACCTTTAAAGTCCGAAAATTTCAAGGGAAAATATCCATGACTTTCTTCAAAAATAGATCTTTTCTGAGAGGAAATTTGGCAACAATCGAGGGCTTATACGGCGTTTTTACATAGTACGGCAGGGCACCTGTAGGATATTAAAGGGGAAAAACATTTTTAAACCTCTACGTATAATATGAATGAAAATACGAGCTTTAAAAGTTCCCACAATATAGAAACTTCATGTCCAAATTCTCTCATTTTCTCAATTTACTGTGCGGCGGTCCGACTGCACCGCAGCCCGCGTTGGGAGGAGGGGGTGCGGGGCTGAGGTCACGAGACGTCTGGCTCCCCCGCCCCCCTCGAGAACCCCCCTCTCCACGCCGCGGCACGAATGGAAGATGTACCCGGCGGGAAAGCTCCGTCCATACATCACCGGCTCCTGGCGGGTATGCAACCCCCGACGCGGGAGCGCCGAATGGGTATGCAACCCTCAGTGCAATCGAGCCAGACGACCTGAACCACCGCGTTATGCTTGGGGAAAACGTTGCCGTGCTAAGGAAAAACGCCGTATGAGCCTTCAGGCGTTGCCAATTTTCCTTTGATAAAACACGAATTTCCTGATAGACTTATGAATATTTTCCCTCCAATTTTTCACGTAATTTTGTTCGCGTTATCACCTGAAGTTCCTGAAAATTTCAAAGAAAAATATTTGTAACTTTCCTTGAAAATAAACATTTTTTGGCAACTTTCGAATGTTCATACGGCGTTCTTCCTTAGCACGACAGAACGTTAAATGGGCATTCGGATGCTCTAAAGTTCCCCTTGGTGAAAAGTTATGTACATATTTTTCCTTGAAATTTTCTCATACAGTGAATTAAACAGCGAACAAAGTTCTCTACAAGTTTCAGAGGACAGAATTCATATTGGTTTTCCAGAGAAATCGTATGTTATTGAAAAAAATTCGGCAACATGCCAAAGTTCATACAGCGTTTTTTTTTAAAGCACAGCAATATGGGAGAACGTAAAATGAAAATCCAGATGTTAACGGATTTCCGCCCATGCAAACAGATTTTTCTTCATATTTATGTGCGATTTTTATTGAATTTTCTACCGAATTTCATGATTTGCCTGAGAAGATTCTATTTCTGAATGCTTCCTTCAGGAACTGGGTTAACAGTATTTCTCAAAATTATTTTCCTCAAATATGGAATATTGGAGGGAAATAGTTTGAAAGTGAGAGAATTTGCCCCCTTGAGAAGTCACAGTGCGCACTCTCAAGAAAAAACAGGTTTGCGGCAGAGTATTGGAAGGGATTCAAGTTGACATAGCGAGGCAAGAATTACACAAACATGTATTAAAGTCGCTTTCACAGCGCGCTCAGGTGCTCTGCGACACCTAATCGCTGTTCTTGTCTCTCGATCCAGAGGTCATCTGGTAAATGGCATCTTGTAATTTCATCTTGAATGCCACCTATCCACGATTTTGCTGGACGTCCCCTACGTCTCCTCCCATGAGGAACCCAATCTAGTGCCTTCTTACGCAATCTGTTATCCACCATACTTAGACATGACCATACTAGACAAGCTGTTTGGTCATAATTTCATGGATGGTGTTCTGCTTGGCATTCATGATCTCACGCACTCTTTCGTTCCTTACAAGGTTCCTTCTCAAGATTCAGGCAAGAATTATTCATGTATAGAATATCAATGTCAAAATTTCCCTCCACTTCTTACCGGCCAGCTTTCAAGGAACTGCAAAAGTTTTGCCCACTTTTCTCCAATAGCTCTATAAGAAGTGAAACCAGTTTGGTTTGCCTAAGTTGTGTTAATTTAGTTTCAGGTGGAGCGACAAAGGAGAACTATATGCACAATTAAGGATGATCTGAGTTCTGATCACAAGGAAGTAGCCAATTTATTTAAAGCCTTTCCATAAATACCTTTGATTTAAGTGTAACAGAAGTGCACAAAACTTGAGAGATGTAAAAATTAATAGAAGTTCTCTACAAGGGATTATTCTCTCAGTGGTATTTTCGTCAGAGTTTTCATAACTTTCAGTTAGATTTTTTCTATTAATTACATATTAGCTTTTTCCAAACTGTGGACGAAATTCCCACCTCTAGAAATTCAAATCATGGTAAAATGCATTCCGAAGGTTTTTACCCTCTCTTTGATGGCATTGGCAAAGGTTGCTGAGCAGATGCTGTATTAGCAAAATTCCCTGGCTTTTTTCATGGATTCCCTGATTATCCACTCTTTTTCCAAAACACCATACATTTCTTGACTTGTCCAGTTTTCCAGATCGCCAGAAACCTGTACTATGACAGTACTATGAGTACTTTCACAAATAAAAATTCATGGAAAAAGGGGAAAAAACTTGATGCCTCTTTACATTAATCTATTTCTTACTGTTTCCAGACGGAAAATACAATGGTAAATCATGATGGCATCCTCTATGCAATATGCAGTTGGCCAGTGAAAATATTTATTGAGTTATAGGCACTCAGATGGAGCAGAACGACGCAAAATGTACACGTGAGAGTTGAAAACATCTGTCTAGTGTCCTCCCTGATTCTTATGGCCGGCAAGATAATGAATAATAAGACTCAATAGAACATACCTTGCTGAAGTATCCGATGGTATGACAGCCTTCAGTATCTGATGTGGTCATGATATAGAACAAAAACGGCTCAACATCATAGTAGAGAGTTTTGTGATCCAAGAAAAATTTTGCTAACAGACACAGATTTTGGCAATATTGTTTGTACTTTTTACCATCCACTTCCCATACTGAGATTTTGTCTTTCCTGAAAAGAGATAAATGGGAAATAACATTATTTTACGACTGGAGGGAAACAGGACGATAGACTATTTATAGAACTTTACGAAAATAAGTATAAATGGGATAAAATTGGAAATCTTTGCGTCCCAAATAGGATTTGAGAGGCCTCAAATTCTTCCTCGACTTTCATTAAGAAAAATCAACTGTTGTTTTTTTCTAGAGTATTTATAGTTATAATTTACTGATAAGGATGGGTACCGACTCAAGGGAAATTATGACTTTAAGTCATTATTCATTGAGTTACAACGCATCAAGGGGTTTTCATTTCAAAAAGAACACTGGAGTTTTCCTTGTTTCACCATCAGTATATGAGGACTTATATGTGACAATAGCGACATCCGCCATTTTTAGGGAAAACGCTTTTTTCGAATGCTGAAGCCCTCAAAAATGCTTGTGCAAAGTTTCAGACTTCCATTGCAATTTTTCAGCGAGATATGAACTGAAAACCATGTTAGTTGTAAAAACAGCGGATATGAGAATCCACTGTTCTCCCTGACCGGCGCAGCAGGACACCATGGAGATTCGAACGCACCTGCAATAACTGCCTGTGCACCAGCCATAGACTGCAGCTGGCACTCAAATGATACATATCAGGACCGTCTTGACAGAATTGATGAGTTTTTGTTAAAATTTGTTCCTTATTTTTATTGTAGAAGTTACAGAAGGATTAAATTTGTGTTCAATTTTATTAAATGACTCAGCATTGACATACGTTTGGTTCATTTCAATCGTTTCACCAGCCTTACCCTTCCTGAAGACTTTGATTCATGCATAAAAAAATGTTTTCAGTAAAAATAGCGGATGTCACATTTTTTTTTTCAAATTGCTGTTTCTCCTTCAATTTTTCACTTACATAGATCGTAAAACGTGTAATTTTTACAGGAAGAAATGCTCTTTATGAAAATCTTTGTAAGAATCCTTTCGGTTCTGTGGACAACAAAGTACAAAGCTTTGAAAACCTCAAACGCATTTTTCTCACAATAAGAAAACTCGACATCCCCTATTGTTACATATAAGTCCTCATATGCTTGCTGAGTGAAACAATTACACAGGTATAAAACAAAGAAAAATTGTAAGAAAGCATAAATTAAGCTTTGGAGGAGATGTTAATCTTCAAAGCTTCAAAATCTACAACTGGTTAAGGTGATATTTACATTCAGATACAGTTTTTGAGGAACTTCATTCTTATAAGTAAACTTTCAACAGTCTAACTACGCAAGTGCTTTAAGCGTCCATCATCTGTTCGTAATTTGCAGGCAGATGTTACAGAGTAGGAGTTGACTACCCACACTCTTTAATTTTGCTTGTGAAAAGGTGGTCGCTACTTTGTCTTGGATGGTTTATTTACCGAATTCCAGTGGTTGCGTCAAAACAACTGGGATCAAGCACTCACCCAATATTTCATTAATTTGTATAGTTTTTTGCAGTCAAAAATGAGCCTGAGACAGCCACAACGTCCTGCCTTTTTCGTATTTTTTTTTACAATTTTAGCCTTTGTTACTCACAGTCTTGGTTTTTACTCATTTATGGGTGTCTTTGATGAAGAAAGAGTCTCAGCGATTCCCAAAAGTACAGTGCTGAGTGCATACCTACACCGCATTGAGGACAAGACCACTTTTCACATTGTGTTCATCTCATACACTGTGTTCATTTCAATCATCATCGGTGTTCCTTTGATAGGAGGGCGTATCTTCATTTTGACTTGAGCCAGGAAAAGCATGGCATGGGGTTATGTACAGGCAGTAAGGGTCATTCATAAATAGAGGAATGTCTTCATGTCAGAGGAGCAACAAAGTATAAAGCCAAACTTTATTAATTTATTTGAAACAAATTCGGAGGGGTTAAAAACACAGGTAAACAAGGCCAAAACATTAAAAAACACTAAAAGGCAGGACGTTTTGAGCTTTGACCAGCTCATTTTCAACTGCAAAAACATGAAAAAAAAAATAAAATAAAATAAAAAATTGAGTGGCGACCTGACCGTAGCCATTATCACGAAACTACTGGATTTCAGTTTTTTTTTTATTCATTTTTCGTGTTTTTGAAGCTGAAAATGAGCTAGCAACAGCTTGAAACGTCCGGCCATTTCATGTTTTTAATTTTTAATATTTTAGCATTGCTTACCCATGTTTTTAATTCCTCCCTATTTGTTCGTATATTCGGGCTATGTTTTTCTGTGCTTTATGAAATTGAAACTTATTGCAATAAATGAAACTTGAGTACAAGGTTGAGTTTGAAAGTAAATTTACCTATTTTTTTTTTCTTAAATACCACTATCAACGCTACAAAAATGCAAAAATAATGTTGAAACGTACGTACTTTCAGCTTTTTAACAAGCTAAAGTTTTTTTAAATTTAGTCCGTGCCTTGCAGAGAAATCATGGATTTTCCACATCCATCTCTCTTTCAAACAAGCCTATTGTTAATGTGCTGCAGAATTTCATAAAAGGTAGCCATCAATTCAATTTTTTGCCTGCATTTGCTGACATGCCGTGCTAAAATTCCCACATTTGACAGGATGTCATCTAAAATCCTTTTGATCTTCAGGGACTCCTAAAGTCTGATAAAATTGCTTGGGGTTTCTCCTCTTAAAAATCTCTTGTTTTCAATGAGTTTCTTTGCTGAAAATTTGTGTGCTTTGTAAGTTTTCTCCGTAGTTATTCCTGTGGAATGAGGGAGTTGCAACTTCCTGTTGGGTTGTGGGTGGACCCACTTATGTGGCGGTTAGGCATCGTAGAGCGCAAGAGTGCATTATGAAAGCAACTCTTATGTATGTAATTATCCCTGTGAATTAATTGCAACAATTACGCACTCCACAATAACCACTACAAAACTTAACAAAAGTTTTTCCAATTTGGCCCATGCATTGCAGAAAAATCATGATTTTCTAGATCCTCTCCTTCAAATAAGCCTATTTTTCATGCTCTGCAAAAGATCACCAAAAAAATAAGTTTAAACTTTGAAAAAGTAAAGTGGAGTTGAAATCTCAGTGAATAAAGTTAATACACTCCCTTATAGTCTTACCTTAATTTTTAACAAGGCCGCCTCTGAAATTGACCCCATTTCCCCTTTCATGATGATGCAATGATTTCTAAACATCAGTTTCATAAGATTCTTTGCCCATATTCCGAAGCTAGGTATAAAGGCAAGCTGGATAGGTTTAAGTTGGAAGCTTTCCCGCATCCACTCTTCTCTCAAAACCTAACATTTGGTAATTTCCAAACGTTCCAGAGATTGAAGTAATTTCTTAAGGCAAACTTTTTAACGATGTTGTGGAGGTGAAAGTTTGCATCAACATCTGGCTCCAGAATATGGTCAAAGAATTATACAAAACCCGTCTGCGGAAATTGTTGCACATGTCCCACTTTTGCGAAAAATGCATGAATCTATCGAGTGGATAGGTAAAAAAATAAGGTAAGCTGCTGAAAAAGAGTCTATTAACTTTATGGAATGCAAAAATGACTCCAATTTATCTTTCCAAAGCCTTTACTTATTTTCTTTGTTAAGTTCAGCAGTGCATGAAAAGAAGGCAAGTTTGGAGATGAAGTGGGTGTGGAAAATACATGATTTTTCCACAAAGCGTACACTAAATTGAAAAACTATAGCTTTTGAGAGGGCTAAGAAATTGCACCTATCAAAACTGGTTTCATTATTTCTCCCAAGTCTTGATGCTTCTTGAGAAAATGAATAGGTAAACTTACTTTAAAATCCACCCTTGTAGATAAGCATTGATAAAGCATAAATACCTATAAACTTGCTGTCCAGGCGGATGCTTCCACACACATTTTGCTGTATGCCTATTCAATGTCGTCCTACTTGACATGTACTTGAGACAAAACTCGCACAGATACAATTTTGGAAATTTTTGAAACTGTTCAGGATATGGACTCTGATACCAGACTTCCATCTCAAATTTACCCATCTCTACAAATTTTGTTCCTTTATAGCACGGTAAAGATTTTAAATCTGCTTCCTGAAACATAAAATCCAAAACTTAGGTTTGATGGATGTAAAATAGCCAAGTGCATACTATCGACAGATCGCAGTTTAAGACACACCTTGTTTAGACAGAGATGGCGATTTACCGTTACGCGTTTCTTTCAAACTGAAAATCTCTCAGTGACGGGAGACAGCTCATCCAAGCACAATTTTCCTTCATTCAGATATCAACGGTGAAACTGCAGAAATGCACATCAAGGTTTGCAGTGCTGCAAACTTCCTGCTGTATTCTATTTTCTACGTAGAAAACTGGCTAAAGGCTAATGTTGCAGAAAGCCTATTATAACTTTAGTGAATTTCTTAGTACCTACACATTTGATAAAGTAATGTGAATATACATTGTTTATAAGTTTGTTATACTGTGTAATTGACCTGTACAATAGCTCTACCAGGAGCTTACATTTCTGTACCAAAGATCAAATAAATAAATAAATAAAATTTCAGTGATTTACTTTTCTGTAGGAAGGATATTCTGAGAAAATTTCAAGCCATGATGTGGGTTGGGAATTCTTTTAAAGAGTAAAATAGAGGCAGAGATTTTGAAACAACACAACTGAGAGATGTATTTTGCCAGTTTCGCCATCAATGTACATTACAGTGTTTCAAAAGCACATCTCTTAATTTAATGTCTTGGTAGGAATTCAAAAAACGTTTTTGCTTGAAATTTCGAAGAAATAACTTTAATATGGGCAAGAGAAATTGCAAGAATTTTTGAATGGATATGTTGGTTGCTTTCTTTCCAAAAAGTGAAAATATTAGATGGGATTTTGAAACACCGCAATGTAGATGTAACTGTTTTGTTTAACTCTATATAACTGGAAGCCAGGAGTTTGCCATTTGACACTTGTTATGACAAATCGTTGTCTCTTGCAGGATCGTATCTTGTCTGCACTGTTTCAGTACTTCTACGATCATTTTATTTTTTTATGGTAGAACCGTTGTATAATTAGTTAGAAAATTTCAGTGTCCTTTTTCACAAGGATAGAGAGATATCATTATATGTTTAAGGAAAATTCATGCAACGGTTTTTCTGTAGACAAATGAAATTTGAGAAAGAGTTATTGAAATAGTTTGCCTGATGATCATTAGGAGAATAGGAGGCAATGTCGATTGGACGTCTCAGAGTGCAAGGCAGCGCTGTGAAAGAGGCTTAGTGTATGTTATTGAAATAGTCTAATCAAGATACGTTCTTTGAAGCAGGGGATGACAAAATATCCATTTGTAAAAATTGATCTTGCAAAAAACCCTTTGTCGATGGATGTTCCAGTGTACCTTTCTGCCTTTCTTTTCTGCTATGATTAATGCGTTTTTCACACAACGAATGGGCACATAAAATGTGTACACATACATATCGACGGTGTAAGTTGGCAATCACATAACTAGGTTTACGATGTCGCAGACTTCCTGTCATACTTTATTTTTTGAACAGAAAACTACTCAACAGCAATTCTTCAAAACTGCTGTGATTTTTCTTCTCTGTGCGAAGAAAATTCTGCAAAAAATTCAAGGAATTATGTCATGTATTCAGTTCCTTCACTGAATTCTTTTGGATAACCATGTGCAGCCTTTGCCCTCCTCCTATGGCTGTCTATTTCTAGCTGGGTTTTAAATCGAATTAAATTAACATGCATACGTAATTTTTTTACAGAAATTTTAGGAAAATAACAAAGAATATTCCTGAAAAGACCATAGCCATGACTTCCAATTTTCTTTCACAGAACAATATATTAGTGTGCATCATCTTAGTAGCACTGCAAAAGATACAATAAAATAGAAATGGTAACATACTATTTTTTCTGCTGCTACTGCTTGCGCATTTAGAAACAGCTGATGGTCAAACTTCGGAACACCCTGGGCAATGAACTTTGGCTCAGCAACTAGCGGATTAGGAACGATGTTTTCTTGTAGCTCTGCATTTACGTCTGCAATCAGTTCTTTTCGGACTTCTTTAACGTGCTCTCTGTAAGCTTTTTGCTCTGCAGACAAAAGCATGGAGGATGGTTTCAGAAGTATCATAGCTTTCCGCCTATCATCTTCTGCCTTTTTCCATTTTGTTGCGTTTTCCTAAAAATAAAACAAGAATTATAAAAAAATCATACAAAAGATTCAAACGGGAAGGGAATAGAAATAACTAAATTTTCAATTTCAAGGTTTCTTTGCTTTTAATTTTTTGTGATCCTTGCAATTTCTTGTTGTTCCGGACGGCAATATCAGGTTCTTCCTGAAAGTGAATTGCAATTTCCTTTGTGGTGCCTTCCCAAATAATCCATTTCAATTCAAATGATTTTTTATTCATAATGAAGGAGCACTAACTGCTTACAGTTAGCCAAGAGTTAAATTCAAGCATCTTCCAAAAACTTAAAGACTTTTCAAGCTCTGAAAATTAATTTCAATATCTAGCACTTTACAGACATTTTTCAAGGTAGCATGACCAATGTTTATAATTTGAGGGCTTTCAAGAATATTTACTCTATTTTCCTCAGTATAAAGATTTTCCAAGACTTTCCAAGATACTATTCAGGCCGATATGATCCAGTTATCATATTATTACAGACTCGACAGGAGAAAAAAAACATTGTGACACGGGTTAAAAAGAATCCACTGTGTAGTGCTGAGTGAAATTCGAAATATAAAAGTATTTTTCCTCAGAAGTGCAAAGCTTAATGTCTCTCTTTAGGATAAGATTCCTAGAACAAGACAGCTCTAGAAGATGTGCTGCGATTTCGATGCAATATTTTTATTTGAAATTTAACCATTGCAAAGATTTGTGTAATGGAAGGTTGGGGTATAGGTTTACTAAACACAACGTAGCCACTATTTTGGCTTTTCATTGTTGGCACAATAATTAAGGTTTGTTTGTTTTTTTTTTGTATACAAATCTGAACGGTGAAAATTGAGGGGCTGAATGCAAGATGGGTACTCCTCAGTTGCGGTATTTTAGAATCACTGGTAATCATGCATTCATTGTAAAGAAAGCGGAGCATGCATTTCATTAAATTTGTTTACTAATATTAATCATGATTTTGCGATGTTCTGAAGAAAAAATTGCAGAAAAATTTGAGTACATTCTGCAATCAGGAACTACAATTTCTGTCTAAGCTTAGAAACAACATTTGCACCATTAGTTTCCCTACAGACAAATGTGTTTTTGCGAATGAGCCAGAAATTGTAGCTCCCGATTGCAAAATCTAGTCCAATTAATCATCAGATTGGACTTCATTTCGCAATCAGGAATTGCAGTTTCTGGCTCATCCGTGAAAACACTATTGTGCAAAGGAAAACTAATGGTGCATACGCTGTTTCTAAACTGAGTCAGAAATAGTAGTTCCTAAATGCAAAATGTAGTTCAATTAGCAACGGAATTCTGAAACACCACAACTGAGAAGTGTCTTCCTCCCAATTAGAGCCTCAATTTTATTGGTATTCATCCTTGAGCCTTAAAATCATTCCTTTCTTCTTAACACTTTTGTGACACTTTTTTCTATCATTGTGTGCAGCACTTTCACTCTCATAAAATGCAACGAAGAAAGCAGCAGTTCTTAAAAAAAAACTGTCAAGCAGTAAAACACTGATATAATATAAATAATGTGATTGTCACCTTGCATTGTTGAGCAGTGAGATTGTGATAGACGGGGCAAGCCTCTTTCGTGAAATGATTGTCGAACTTTCCGCTAAGATGACCGGATGAATCACAATTTTCCACGGGGCATTTCCTATCTTCTTCTGAAAATGTGACCGCTGACATTTCGTTTGATTTTTTGCCATTCTCTTTTCGAGGTCGACCAACAGGACGTTTCATTTTTGTTGCGGCAGATTTTTTCTTTTCTGAAATTAAAAATTACAGAATCAGTGACAGATCTTCAAAATTAGTGTAAGACAAGAAAGACTTTTCTGCTTGTAAATAAATATTTATTTTTCTTTGTGAATGAAAGAGATTTCTGAGAAAAAACCAATAATTTTGTTTGACGCACCATTCTCTCATAAAACTCTATACGTCTGATGAACTTTTCTCTTTTTAAGGCGTCTACTTTTTGTAAATTTTAAAAGAAGTCTGAGTAATTTACTATTTCAAGGTAAAATTGATACCTACGTGGTACCATCAACCACTAACAAGAGGCAAAGTGCTTCACTATTTTGAGCAATCATATAAGATAGTGATTACATCTCTCGTAATATTTAACTGACTCGAATAAAGAGTTTTCTGCTTTGGTGCAGTACATCATAACGCTGTGATTATAACCTTCCTCTCGCTATTTTATAGATTTGAGCAGCCTAGCTCAATAACTCGAAATCATCATGCACATTCCAGTCATATAAAGAAAGAAATATGCATTGTTGTTTCAGTTTATGATGCAGTCGCTCCTCTGACGTAAAGGCATATCTCAGTTTCCACAAGAGACTTCTTCTCTGTATAACTCTACGCTTCATGGGGCTCATGTGGCAATAGAAACACGGCTATACCATATATCAATCATTGATCTGCCATTTAAACCTATGGAAAAGGATCGATTAACAGGGTGTTTGCATGGAAAACCTTAGAAATTGATTCTTTACTACATCTTCGAATGGGGAAATATCCATAATCGATCATTCACGCCCTTAAGTCGGGAGAGCGACGATATGGACGTATTTATGCTAAAAGGAACTACGTTGCATGCAAACACTATGCACATACCTAGGTCTTTTTAGCATAAGTATGTCCATATGTGATGCTCCATTAAATAAAATAGAAAGATCAAGGTGATAGTCACAACCTGTCTACATTTAGTGAACTTATGTAGTGCTCTTAAAAAGAAAATTAAAGGTTTTTATGAAGTTTTCAACTTTCAAGTTTTTCTCTGAAGCACAGTGAACTCTTGTCAGAGTATTTCTACTGTCTAAAATGTAGAGATTTTCCTATAAAATTTTGTACTTCCTTTCATTATTTTGATTGTGTATGTACTGAAAAATCAACAGTTGAAATTAAGATGATGAGACAGCTATATTTTTGGCTCGTGTTCAGCTTTTACGAAAAGCAGATGTGTTAACAGAAGTTCAGCAAATTTACAAAAGATTCCTTTTTGTTATGTTTATGACCATGAATGGGAAAAGGACCTTTCTTGAGGGGGGGGGGAGTTGTTTTTAAAAAGGCATTTTTTATAAAATTGCCTCAAAAATAAAGAAGATCGGATTAGGAGGATCAGATTGGAGCGGATCATCGAATGGACTGGATTTTGCGATAAGGAACGACAATTTCGGGCTCAGTTTAAGAACAACGTATGTATCATTAGTTTCTTTACGCAAATACGTGCTTTTACAGATGAGCCAGGCCAGAAATTATAGTCCCCATTCGCAAAATATGGTCCAAAAGACGGTTTGGGCACACTTGATTGGCAAATTTTGAAATTTTTGATCAACAGAGAAGATCAAAGTTGCTGGATGGATCTTTCGAGGTATCGATTCTAGAGATCTGATATTTTGAACCGAATCGGTTTTCGTGAAGACTTTGGATCAATTCTTGGCCCAGGAATCGCTATCACTGAGCTCCGGTTCTGCTTGATTCAGTGGCGTGGCGTGGCGTGCTTTGCGATATATCGATTGATCTGCCATTTAAACCCATGGAAAAAGATCGATATACAGGGTGTTCGCAACAAACCGTAATAATCGATTCCTCACCGTACCTTCAAATGGGGAAATATCGATAATCGATCATTCACGCCGCTTGATTTACTTTCAGGCGTATTCAAAATTCGAAAATATTTTAGAATAATTTTCTGGCCAATGATACTGGGATCTGAAACTCGCGAGTTTTTTTTTTCAAAGGTCCCTCTCCCATACACAGTCAAAAATCAATGAGATGGCAGTACAAAGAGACAAGCTGAGGTTGATTCAGGATCAAAGCCAGACGTACGTTGTACCGTAAAAATATTTTTTCCCTGCCGAGAAATAAAAATCTGGTCTCAGGTCTATTTTAGCAAACGGAGAGTTTAAAACCTCGAAACCTTACAGGGTTGAAAATCACAAGTCGTCACCTTCCCGGCAAAGTATCACAAGCGCCATTTTTACCGAAATTGAGTTATGAATAGTTCCGAAATAACGAGATGCATTTACATACGAAAATAATCATTTTTTTTACAACAAATATGTAGAAATATGAATAAAAGTCGATTAAAGTTGATGTACTTTCGTATCACAAGCGCCATTTGGGAGAAAAGTATCACAAGCGCCAAGTTCGGCAACCGCCTACCTTTCTGATTGTTTTACAATTTTTGTCACGGCAGTCTTCGGAATGACTTGAAACTAAATTATTTTCGCATGTAATTACATCTCGTTATTTCGAATATAATATTTTTTTAGACTAAATATAAATAAATATTTAAAATACTCCATTGAAGTTGACGAACTTTCGTATCACAAGCGCCATGTAAGAGAAAAGTATCACAAGCGCCAAGTTGGGAATAATCGCTCATCTTTGAGATTGATTTTCGATATTAGTATCAACAACTTTTGGAATGACTTGGAGCGATTCGTCACTTTTCGGTCGAAGTATCACAAGCGCTATTTTTATTAAAGTTGAGTTATGGGTAGTTTTGAATTAATAAGATGCATTTACATACGAAAATAATATTTTTTTTTAGATTAAAAATGAAGAAATATGGAAAAAACTCCGTTAAATTTGATGGGCTTTCGTATCACAAGCGCCAATAGATTCTCAGAGTGCCCCGAGAAGCCGATATCACAAGCGCCAATTTTCAAAGAAAAACCCGTTTTTTTAAAGAAATTTTATTAAAATTCGAAGCAGGGAGGTGTGCTGGATCTATATTTCAAGTTTCAAGCCAAACATCCGTCTTTTACGGTCGCAATTCAGTTTTTTGTGTCTCTTGAAAAGTTGGCAAAGTGGCGCTTGTGATACTTTGCCGGGAAGGTGACGAAGTCTTCTCATTAAATTGTATGGTAAATAGAAGAACGTTCTTAATAACATATTTTTATCAGGTATTTTGCGGTTTTCTATCATTTTAAATCATCTCACACCTCTTGTTAATTGACAATCAATTACATCGATGGCTAAATGCGAAGAACTTGTACCTTAATTGCAACGTTTAAAAATCTCCGAATATAAATTTTCACAATTAGCCATCGATATGATCCAAGAGGGCTGACTAAATATGACATGGATTACCCCTTTTAGTGGGAAAATTAGCTGTTTCCCTCCTCCCGCGAATGAGATTACATCTGACCATTGTGGGAGCAGAGGGATTCGAATGCAGGAAATCTTGAGTCGCTTCTTGTGAGGCTTATTTCAAGAATTTAACACAGGCAAAAAATTACACAATGAAACATTCAGGCTTCAAAAAATTGGACAGGTGATAGATTTCGTAGCGCACATCACAAAAAAACCAAAACAAACTGTTGCAGAGAGAATTTAGTAAATGTGTGACTGATAACGCAGCGGTGAAGTTAGCATTTAATAAAAGCGAATTGCATGATCTATTTACAAAAACAAGAACTAAAGGCAACCATGAGTGAGAAAATACGACAAAAAGGGAAAAAATCAACAGAGAAAAACCGAATGAAAATGAATTTAGGTACAACACTTGCGGAGGGAAAACCGAAAACATTACTGACAAGAGATGATGGAAATTTGATTACATTCAGATCCTGGAGATTTGGAAATTGAATGTTTATTGATAACCTATAAAGAAACCGAAACAGCTGATTAAGGTGCAGAGCGTTTGATGTCATCTTTATAGTTTTTTTGAAAAAAAAAATCAAAGGCAAAAAAGCAAAGCAGCTGGTGATAATGTGCCGAGTTCAAGCGAGAGATGCAAAAAAAATTAATGATGGGAACAACAAAATGTTTGCGCGACAACATAATATTGCAGGAATTTTCAAAATTAGAAACAGGGAGAAAGAAAAAGAAATGATAATAACGGGGGAAAAAACAAACTTTATTGAGGTAGTCACTAATTCACAATAATGGTGTTGCGGTGTTTTATTTTAATCTAGTTACCAAAAAGCTGCTATGATCAGTTCACTCCACGGGGGCTCCTAAATTATTATGCCGTTAGAGTTTAAAATCAACTTGATGGTATAAAAATTGAAGGCGTTTAGGAACAGATATAAAACGCCAAGCGCTGACTGAAAGGAGGACGAAAACTTGCTTAAATCCAAAACAAACCACTCAGTTCAAATATCTCCTCTTATAATTGAATGGGTGAAGAATCGGGTACGCATACTTATAGACGCAGTAAAATCTCCTCATCAAAAAGAGGGGGAAAAAATCCAGCAAATGTTCCAAGATTATATTCTTAATTTCGTTACTCTTCTAGCTTCTAAAACTACTTATCTGAAAAAATGTTGGTTTTTTTTACACTGTTACATAATCGATAAAACAAAACAAAAAAACCCTGTTTTGCACCCCATTATAAACTTTTTGCGTTGTTTCTCCCATAAATTTATTTTTTTAAGGGTTGGGCTACTGAAATTAACAAAATGGATAATCCGATTCACTCTCATTTCACTGCACGGGTGAAAGAGGCTTCATAAATTGAGCTAAAAGAAAACTTGAATGATACCTATTTTATGAGTGAATGACAAGGTTAAAAAATGGCATGCAAAAACTGAAAGCTTAACTTCACACCAAACAGAACTGTACAAAACCACACACCACTCAGGAAGAGGAGAAGAAGAAATCTCATGCACCGGGACCTTCCCCTTTCCTCACGGTAATTTGAGTTCTTCTTGCACCGAGCTGGTCTTTCACTTTCAAAATTTTAGAGCGTTAACTTCCTATAAGTGCTTTCCTTTCAAATTTACGAATTAAACCGTCCTCACACCATGGTCCAGGCACTGATATAAAGATTATTAACCATATTTTGCTTGAATAGGGAGACTTTTCCAAAAGCTTCTTAATGTATCGGTCCAATTATCTTACAGCAAGATTGCACTTGGAAAAAAAGAATATCTGTTCGTATACTATTTTTTTTTTTATTTATGATCTTCGGTAGCTAGGTATTTACTTACTCATCGGCCATTTGAAGAGCTGATTTTCATCGAAATCTAATGTATTTTTTGTATTCATACTTTAGTCACTTCTCCTTCTAAATCTGATCTGGATTGCATTAAAATGTATTTTTAACTTTTTCGATAATAATTTATGTGATGAATCTGAGAGATAAATCGTTTAATGCACATTAATTTTTGAAGTGTTCTGAACTAAAATTGCGGGAATGTTTCAAAATTTGTCAGAGTCTCTGAAACTTGTTCACGTAGCATTTTAATAATTACTCACTAGAAAAATCGATCAATTAGTACTTGAAATCTTACAAACCAGAGACCACCTTAGTATACTGGTGAGCGGGGGACTTTGCCAAAGAAAATTGGGATTTTATCTGCGTAAATATTGTCTGAAACCTACTTTTAAGGAGGAGTGTAGGATTGATTTCTTTTTCTGAGGCACCTAACACTAGAGGAAATCAGGGGTGCAGAATCTCCTGAGGTTCCAAATTTTCACACGCCCGCCTGCGAGCTTTCAACAATTTTATTCAACGGTTTACCACAAAATTCCACACCAATTTAAGAAAAGATGACCCTTGTCCCTGTTTTTCCTTAACTTTCGACTGATGACCTCTCAAAATTGTCCCTCCTTCCGCATTTTGGGGGCTTTTGCACATTTTCACACGCCCGCCCGCGGGCTTTCAACAATTTTTTTCATCGGTTTTCCACAAAATTTCACACCAATTTAAAAAAGGATGACCCTTTTCCCTGTTTTTCTTTAACTTTCGACTGATGACCTTTCGAAATTTCCCCTCCTTCCACATTTTGGGGGCTTTTCCACATTTTCTGCACCCCTGAAAAAAAATCGGTCCAGAGAACAGATTTTCCCATTCAAACTCCAAGTATTTGTTGGTTTTTTTTTTTGGGAAGGGGGTGCTTGCATGAACTAAATCCTTATAATGTGGGGGAAACCGTGGTTTCTAATGAACTCATTATGATGCTGGATTTTTGAGAAGTTGACTACGATACGGTTTTCTAGTTGTCTACACCGTGGGTGACTAAATACTTCGACACTCAAGCAAAACATGGTCCCCTGGAGTCTTATGAAGAAGTGAGCGGACGAAAGAGTGGAAAATAGAAGAGAGGTACCCTTGGTTGCTAATACCATCGCAAAACGCTGAAGATAGTATTTAACATCGGGAGGCGTTGGTTGCTGGCAACGAATCATACCTGAATCGGACTCAGAGTCACTCTGCACTTTTATGCTTATGGTTCCTGACAAGTGCTTACTTGTGCGGGTGGTTCCCGACCTCGTCGCTTTCTTCGGACCCGCCGCCGTCGTCGCGGGGGGCGGTGTCGTTTTGGGCTCTGCCTTTTTAACGGCCCCCGGTTTCACCTCGCTGCTCGGCGGCAGGGGGTTTTTCCGGGGCCGCCCGCGCCCTTTTTTCTTTGGACTCGCGTCCGAGGAAGGCGTGATGCTCGTCGAGGATTTCGGCGGGGGAGGCGAGACTTTCTGCGGGGTCGCCGACGGGGCTGGGGTGCTCTCCTCCGAGTCGGAGCTGCTTTCTGCCGGGAACAGAAAGCACATGTGTCAAAGTCACACAGGTCTGTGCCTTCACCAATAAAGAGCACAAAGTCACTTTGCTTTGATCGCCTTGCATCCCTGCAAGGTTGCGAAAACCAACACCACCTGGAAAAAATCCCTCATCGGCTCCACTCGTCGCACAGTTAATCAGGAATGCCACAAAATTTGGAAAATTAAATCCCCTCGCATATCCCTGACACGTTTGAGGAAAATGGACCACTAGATAAGGTACGAATTTCAACATTCTGATACATGTTTCTTAACCAAAATTTTACGTAAAACACGATGCACACAATGAAAATTACCGAAATTAACTCCTTACGAAGATATTTAATGATTCTTGATGCGTGAATTCAAACCACCCGCTCATGAAAACTCGATGCTCTACGTGATTCACATCGCACGCTAAAAGTTATCATGACAGTCTCTGCGATATAAAAATCTGACAACCTCAATCTTGACGCTTTGGCTCAGCTATAGCAAATTGCTAATAGTTTGAACAACACATGGTGAGAAATGAACATTGCTCGATTGAGAAGCTTGCTGAAACCGTTGTAGTGCACGATTTGACTCACGTGGAGCTTTGCGTTTTTTGTGAGCGGGCAGTTCAAATTCCTCGTAACCAATGTGAAATATAAAATGTTAATATCTTCGTTAGAAATTGGTTTCAGTAATTTTCGTTGTGTGAATCGTTTTCTGCGTGAAATTTTGGTTGAAGAACCTATATCAGATCGCTTAAATTCGTACCTTGTCTAGTGGTCCATTCCCTGCCAGATAAAATATGCAATATACGGCAAAAAAGACGTAATTATAAATAGTTTTTAGGCATAATTTGTTGTTCTGAACGTCAAATCTATTCTAAGAAGCTAATAAATAAAGGTAAATTTACAACTTTCCCCTGACATTTCCAGGTTTGCCCAGACTTTTAGAATTCCTTGGGATTTCCCGGTTTTCCCAGACTTTTTAAAATTCCCCACTTTTCCCGGTATTACCTTACTGTGGCAACCCTGATTAATAAATATATAATTAATATAAAAACACTGATAGGACTCTAGATTACTTTGAATCCAAATATTAACTCCGATAAGTAGTCCCGGTGTCCTCAAATTCTGGGTTCGCTTAGTTACTAACTTGTGTGCGCATCGAAACTTTCAAAAATAAACACAAGTCCTTCAAGCTGGAATATATTCTGATTTGGTAGAAAAAATACCCGCCCTCATTTCCTGGACAGTATTTGTTTTGATCATTGATTAAAAAATTCTATATTCTTGCTTTTTCGTGCGGTTAGTTAAATACACAAATGAGTAAAATCATAATTTCTGCGTACCTCTGTTAACGAACGGTACAAAATACAGATAATTTGGATATTCTGAAGTCCAAAAGTGCGTTGTGATCCTGCATAATATGGAATGATAAATTTTTCTCCGTCTATTAAGGACCTGCTTCTGAGTAATATATCAACAGCCGTCGTTGACTGCTGAACACAAAATATTCCGGGAAAAAAGAGAAATTCTTTTCCATGATATAATTTTAGTCTTTCTTGGTAATTCTCATGGAGGAGAATATTGGTAGCAAAAAAAAAAAAAAAAAATCCCGCAAAAAGTTAAAAAACTTGGTTCCCTCCAAATTTTGAGCATAATTGTCGTTGCCAATTTCATTTGCTCCTGTGGTGAAGAGGACCTTGATCCGGACGGAGCGCGAGAATACCTCATTACGTCCTTAATGACTTGGGTCGTGAGGATGCTTAAAATTTAATTGAAAGATTGATAACATGTTCACATTCCCAAAGAAACCATATCATGATCCCACAGAAAACACGGCATTAATTTCAAGCAAAAAACAAACGAAAACGCCTTGGGGGTCTTTGAAGACATCACAATACACGTAACATGAATAATGCCCAACAGACAGAACATGTAAGGATAGATAGGGTCAGAAGAGTCCTTTGCTGGTTGCTATGTAAGATCATTTTCCTTTAACTGCGGATTATAATTGAGAATAACACTTGGGATAATTTGGAAATTGGGGCAATGACCACCCTTAAAACGTTATTGTAATTGGGAAGTTTTCGAGTAAATAATGGTGGGGTTGCCAGAAATGTACCTATTCAAAAGTTTGCAAAATCAAAAAAACAAAAATTTGAATGAATGCAGAGTCTGTGATATCCAAGAGGAATGACACTTACTAATTACTGCAGCCAATGCAATCGATATGAATTGATTGGTTAGCATTGAAAAGACGATTAGGCATTCTTTCATTTCGTCCATGCTGAACCTTAGTTTTTTCAGCTATTTTTCAACCAAGCAATGAATCACTAGACAAGGTACAAATTTAAGCTTTATGATACATATTTCCTCATTGGGAGTTCTCGTAGAACACGTGTCACACAAAGAAAATTACTTTCATTGACAGCTAGCTACACTACTCAGCTAAGTCACTGAAACAATTTTCTCGAGATATATTTTGACTTAGAGCGTCGTTTCTTGTCAACAATTATTTATCCCCCCCCCCCC